TTTTTATTCAACTCACTTTGTAACCTCTGTTTATTTTATAAGTTTCTTAAAAACCTTTCAGAAAATGGTTTCAATAAATTTGAACACACATTCAGATATATTGATGATATTATTACATTCAACAATAATAATCTTATTGAACAACATTAGCAACATCTACCCCAACTGTTTAAAACTTAACAAACCAATTAATTGTAGATTATCTGGATCTTAGCATTTGTAATCTTAAAGAAGTAAGATTATTTCATAAAAGAAGAGAATTCAATTTTTCAACAATTCAACTTATAAATTGAAATATCAACATCTTTAAAAAAGTTATAGCAAATACAATTTTTAATCAAATTAACCAGAATTTAAAAAGTATGCACAAAAATTGAACAACAAAAAGAAATACTTCTTACTAAAATTTTACAATATAATGAAATTCTAATCAACATCATTAACAGTCTACTTAAAAAAGCTGGAATGGTTTACATTCTATAAATTTTTTTAAAGTAATTAACTTTTTATCTGAATGCTCAAATAGAGAAGAGTAAAGAAAGATATTTTGAAGGATTTTATTTGAAGGAATTTGTATTTTGTACATTTTTTCTTGACTACACTTTTATTAACTGAGGGCCTGCTCTATTCTAAGTTATGATGCCCATCACATGAAAACCTTATTCTTTTCTAACCTTTGTTTCTTTTTTCATTTTTTCTTACTTTGCTTTCTTTTTCTAAAAGAAAAACAGAAAGAAAAAAAAAAAAAAGAAAGTTTCTTGCTTTTAATTAACCTTTGGTAGATTTGAAACTTGCCATCGCCAATTTATTTCGCCAAACTGGCAATCATGGGCATTAGCCTTTTGAATTTCTGTCTTTGAATTGTTCGCTGAATGGTAAATCTTGAAATCAAGTTCTCTGTTAATTAGCATATATATTTTGTATTATTACATTTTCATTTCAGTAATATGTGTCTAATTATTTTTCTTTTACTTTATTGGTCACTGAATGGATTTGTTTTTGCATATTTTTATTTCATTTTTGGAATTCCTCTGCATAGAAGATGCTTTCAGAATTTTAGGGTGAACTGTTAAAATTTAATAATTTAGAATGCTTCATCAGCTAATTTTAGATGAACTGAAATGCAGTGGTTTTCCTTGTTTAGAGGAATTTAATTGAATTCGATCTACCTCCTCTTGATAACGGAGAATCAGATTTCAATAATTCTTCTGGTTTGGTGACAATTGGTTGAGATTTTTTACATATTTGTAGGGAATTTTGGTTTTACTAGTTTTGAATTTCTTGTCTTTGTGAATTTGGTTATAAATTTATTATTTTGTGTCTATAATATGTATACAGGTTCAAGAGTTATTTAACTGATGCAATGATTTAATATTTTCTCTCTGAGCTAATAAAAACTACTGTTAGATTATTTACAAGATAATCAAGTCATTTTAATGGACAAAGGCAAAATACAAATGTATACATTATAAACAGTTTAAATAACTGCCAACATTTTACATTTTCAGAATTCAACTTATTCATTGTCAACTCTAAACAGATCTTCTTCGAAATAAACCATTACTGCCGTCTAGTGTCAGATGATTTTTTGGTTATCACTTTCACTTTACAGAAACATAAAACAAGAATAAAGGCCAGTTTTGGTATTTAAAGAAATAGTTTAAAAGTTAATTCACGTAAACCATTATTTGGAACTTTAATCAAGTGTGAAAGTCTTGCTATCTGATTTTAAGGTGGTCTATTGTATTTTAATGGGTAATATTTTGGGGCTTTTATGTGGTTTTTATTCAGTTTCATCCTTTAGATTTTATATATTTAACTTCAGAATTTTATTCATTAGTAGTGTTTTTTTTTTAATAATTTATCAAAGTAGATCACATTGCTTTGTGTCTGGCACCTTATATAATAATCTTTGGTTTTGCATCAGTAATCTCACCTACCTACTTTAGTCTTTACATAAAAACACTTTCATCCCACTTTTGGCACCAGTTTACTATAGGTTCAAAATCTATTATAATAAAGTAATACATTCTTGCTTAGTAAATCATTTTAATAGATGAAAACAAAAGCAAAATACAATTGTATACAGAGTTTAAATATTTGCCAACATTTGGTATCTTTAGACTTCAATTTATTCATTGTTGATTCTAAAGAAATTTTCAAAACAAAATTGTTATTACCATCTGTTGTCAAATGATTATTTGATTATAACATTTACTTTACAGGAACATGAAACAAAAATAATTCCAATTACAGTAATTAAAGGAACAATTCAAAATTCAGTTCACATCAACCATTATTTGAAATGTCAGTTACTTCAGGAGCTCCTATTTCTCATCAAGTCTGAAAGTTCTATTGTATTTGATTACTGTAGAATTGGTACACATCTGCTTTGAAAAGAATTTCTCCTTTTCTTTGAAGCATAACTGCTCCCATTTGCTTAGGTTACATGAAGAGCTCAACAGTCTAGCAGAAGCACCATAAAATGAGTGTAGACGGTAATTGTCACACACATATACAAGGTGGTTAAAATTAAAACACCCCTACTCTGAGCTCTACATTGAACTACTGAGTGTAAAGGCCCCAAAATTGTTGACCATACTATTCAAGACATGGGGAAACGGATTACGTGAAAAAAAAATAGTTTCAGAAACACCGATAGGTGGCACTGTGCAACGGAAAATATGCTGAAAAGGCACAAATAATCAAAAAAAAAAAAAAAAAGACATGAGGTATGGAAATATTCCTTTTTAATTTCTATTGCTGATAAGAAGAAAAAGAACATAAAAAAGTTAAAAAACTCATTGTAACTGCAATTTCACTCTCTGGCCATCTTGTTATCAGATTTTAATCAATGTGATTTTTGGCTGTGGGGTTACTTAAAAAATCTTGTTTATCGACAACATCTGGTAACTTTTGAAGATTTGAAAGACAGTATCACTCTGCATGTGAGAAGCATCTCAATCGATCAATTACGATCCGAAATTAAACAAGCTGTCCACAGACTGCAGATTTTGCATCTTGAAGAAGGAAACCATATTGAGCAGCTTCCCTTGCATCGATAAGGTCTTTGTGATATGAATGTTTTGTATGTTCGAATAAAATGTGGTATAAAGTATATTTTGTGTCTTTTCAGCATATGTTCTGTTGTACAGTGCCACCTATCGGTGTTTCTGGAACTTATTTTTTTTTCCACGTAATCCATTTTCCCACGTATGTTTAACAATTTTGGAGCCTTTACACTCAGTAGTTCGATGTATACAGAGCTCATAGTAGAGGTGTTTTAATTTTAACCACCTTGTACATATGTTACTGAAAATGCTTATAATATAAAAATAGAGTTTTATTTTCTGATTAGCATTTATAATTCTTTTTCATTTTACTATGGGAAGGGATTTAAGTTGAAGAAAAATAAAGTAAGGAAAAGTATTTAGATTGAATTTAATTAAGAATTAATGTTTTTAAAATATGTGTCAAAAAGTTTTCTAAATTCAAAATAAGAAAATTGTATAAAATGCAACTTGTGTGTTTTGATTAATAATAAACGTAATTTTCATGTGAAAACTTAGTTCTTCATTTCTAAATGTTTAATTTATTTGATTTGGTATTTATATTTTATTCTTATAATTTAAGTATTGTCAGCTGTGCTGGCTGTGATCTCATTTTTATTCATCCCAGTGTGCATTTTTTGCACTTTTAATTTATATTCTTCTTTGTAATTTTTTACATTATGTTCAAAGAAAAAGGTTCATTTTAAATTATGTTCAAAATTCAATACTTTAAAATGGATATATATAGGCAAGTCAAAAATTATCTACACTTTTGTCATAACTTTTCTTACATTGCGCACTTTGTCTTCTATTCTCACATATGTTATTGTATACTGTTGTGGTAATGCTGTGAAAGTTTGATCTTAATTCCTCCATTTTTCTTCCTTCTGTTGCAGATATATCATAGCTGTACCATTAGAAGTTTGCACCAAAGAGGAACAATGAGCAGTGATCCAATTCCTCTGTCGGAGGGTGTCAAAGGGTCAGGCATTCATCGCAATATGAGAGAAGTGCACTATCATGTAAAACTGTGTTTTTACAAAGCGTTGACAGTCCATAACACGAGTGAGCTTGTGTTCTGCAGTAAGCTTTCTTGGTACTCACTGTGCACAGACTTTATGAAAACCGAGCTCACTGTGGATGATTTGATGGGCAGAACCATGACTGATATTCAAAGCAGATGCTACTCATCGATAGTGATTCGCCTATTCATGTCTGACCCTTTAACAACTCCGACTAGAGGAATTGGATCACTGCTCATTGTTCCTCTTTGGTGCAAATTTCTAATGGAGCAGCCATGATATATCTGCAACAGAAGGAAGAAAAATGGAGAAATTAAGATCAAACTTTCACAGCATAGCCACAACAGTTTAATACAATAAACAACAGTATAAAGTATGCAAGAACAGAATACAAAATGTTCAATGTAAGAAAAGTTATGACAAAAGTGTAGATCATTTTTGACTTGCCCTCAATTAAGAATTATTGTGTAAAATTAGTTTTTACTCAAAGCCAACAATATATCAAATGTTTAAACATACTTTCCTGAAACTTTTTTTTATTTGCGTCTTGTACAGTAGTGACTGTAATAATACAGTAGTGAATGTAATAAGTGGTGTTATGCCATTTATTAAATATATATTCAAAATATTTCAATCCAGTATATTGTTTAATAGTTTTATTTTTTTCAGGTGTTTTTCAAATTTCTGTGAGATTCAGAAATTACACGAGTCAAATTTTCTCTCATATTCTTCAGAGAAGAACAAGGGCATACACGATATGCCCAGCATGTTAAAATCCTATCATTTATTTCATATTTATGTGATATGTTCAGAGCCATTAGCTAAAGTTTAACATTTAAATACATATCTGGTGAAATAATGACTTTTTTAAATTAAATTTTTTATGATAACTTTTTATTTTTATATGAAGTAACACTTTATTTTTCAGGCTATGTCTTAAGAAGGTAATGGAAACTAAAAACATGTTAATTGCAAAGCAGCAAGAAATGGTCAGTGTGGAACGTGATCTGAAAAGGGAAATGATGAGCAAGTTTGGTCGTACCATTGATTTAAATACTCTTCAAGACTCTATCGAAAATCCTCATTATATAATTAAAAAACACGAAATGGAGTTGGCTTTAAATTCTTTAAAAAATGAGTTGAATAGAGTAAAGGTGTGTAATTATAATGTTTCTGTTTAATAACTTTGCGTTATAAGTCATTTGAATTATAAATGAAAATTTAGGTTGTAGAGACATTAGCACTTTTTTTTAAGCAGAAGTCATGTAAAATGAGCAACGCCTTTGCCAGGAATCGAACCACTGACCTCTGGAATACGCACCCAGCGCGCAGACCACCACACCATGAAGGAAAACCTTATATACTCCCCCTTTTAAAGGAATACTAGGGTTTTTAGGGGACCCAATCCCCAAATCCTGGGTGCAGAGAATCATCATCCACCACCCTTTTTAGTTCCGAGACCTGTAGAGACATTAGGTTTTTTGTTTTTTTTAAAGCAGAAGTCATGAAAAATGAGCAATGCGTACGTCGGGAATCGAACCACGAACCTCTGGAATACACCTCCAGTGTGCAGATGTTCACACCACGAAAGCATGCTAGGAAAATGGAAGAAATACGTTATAATGTAATAGATTTAAAAGAAAAATGTAATGATTTTTCTGCAGTCAGAAATTTTATCATGGGAAAATGATATGTTTATATATGTTGCGTGTATACTTACTAATGATAAAAGTCTTGAGAAAACATTAAAAATGTCTATTATTAAGGCTTTTTAATTTAATTTATTTTTCCACTCCTTTGCCCTGTGCACATTCAGTCAGACATCTATTGCTGTAACATAAAGTTAAGTTTTATGGTGTGACTCCAAAGTATAATTTCATTCGAATCCTGTATATCTGTATTTTGTCAGTACTTGTAATATTTTTAATTTAGTAAGTCACCATATCTACTTAGTGTTATTTAAGTTTATCAGTTTTATTATTTATTTTGATGTATATTTGATATAGTATTATAATAAAATAATTCTTTTAGGCTTCAGAAATGTCTGCTATAAAATCATTAGATAAACTGTGTTTTGAAGATACAAAAGTCTGTTATGAGTTACTAGAATTAAGAGAAGATTTCAAGTTGCTAAACAAAAGTTACACGTCTAAATGGGAGGTCCTTCCAGTAAGTTATTAATATTATCATTTCAAAACTATAAAGTGTTTTAATTTAATCAAAATTATTTTATCATACATTTTTACTGATGTGGAACTAGTGTAACTGGTTCCATTTACATAGTATATTGTTAAATTATTTTCATTATTTTTTAAAAAATCATTCTTGAATCTCTATTACAGTGATTCTTATTTCATGCTTTTCAGTCGAATAACTTTCAATGTGCATTAGTTGTTTACAGACTAGCATATATCACAGCCCAAATTACTTTTTTGCTGTTGTAATGCATAATTATTTATTTCCCCCTTTGTTATGTCTTTTGAGAAGAAGAGAAAGTTACAAAATGCCCCTTGTATTGTAGGTTTTTCTTAATTTGCATTACAAATTTATTTTAAGTTTTCCTGATCTCAACTTCTCAAACTTCCCCTCACATTCTTTCTCCAGGATGTAAATTTTAAAGTTAAGGGAAGTGCTATTTAAACATATGATTATTTCAGTCTATTCAGAGCGTGTTTCACTAGCCTAGCGCACGTTTCGTTGTTATTTCGCGGTCACTCGAGGAAGCCTTTTGGCCTTATCAGTTTAGTATCATGCCAATTAGATCTCTGTGAGTCCATCTCTTAGGAGTCATTTGGAAGTGCATTCTTGCACTTATTTTATTTTTCAGATTTGATTTTGTATACTCATCTACATTTAGTTATTGCTGCAAGTGAACGGTGTTTTTGTAACGCACGAAGTCCATGCTGTCTGTTATTTAAGTTTGAGTTAATAAAGGGTTATTTTTCACCCTTCTTCTGTGCTGGTATTTATTTCATGCCTGTGTGAGAATTAGCCTGGTTCATCATAGGATCTAAGTTAGTGCATGTGGACAGTTAGAGATAGATCTTTACAGTATCATCAGTTCCTTAATTTACTATGTTGAAATTATGATAAAACAATTCTAGTATTTTCTCAGAGAATTACACTGTCAGAGGAAATATGTTGTTTCCAAATAAAATCATGACTGTCCCTTCTGTTCAACATGATGGACTAAGGGGCAGATGGTTGCTTGGACGACTAGGTTTGATGGGATACAGATTTAAATGTTAAATAAAAAATTAAATATTTCATTTTATTTCAAAGTATTATTATAATATTTTTATTGCTTTTCTATCTCGCCAGCAGACGAGTGGTAAAGTTGCTGAACTGAGGTAGTTTGTCCTGAATTCAAATCCCAGTGAATGAAATAGTGTGTAGTGTTTCTGTGTTTTTTCTCCCCCATGTGCAATGTGGATATGATTCAGTTTCCCTTAAAAGGTCTTCCACTTGGGCCTTTCCTACAGGCCTTTGAGTAACTTTACATTAATCAATAAATAAAACCTAACTTGTGTCTTTATAAATATCTAAATGTAAATATAAGCCAAATAGATTTTTTGCTGATGTGGCTGTATATTTTCAAAGTTAAAGGATATCAACAGAAATAAAACTTAACTAATTGAAAAATGACTGAAAGTTTTTTGTACAAAAGCATTATTTAATGTGAATTACTATATTTGCCAGTTAATTAGTGTTAAATGTAAATTTATAGGAATTTAAAAGTGATTGAAAAGAGAAGTTCCCTGTTTTACACTCTTTAATATGGTATATGGTCACCTAAAATGCAAATTTCACATCTTGATTTCATAGAATTTGCCAAACTGTTGATCAAGTCTTGTAGAATTGCATGCTGCTGTTTTGAAAGTGCACTTTTAAGATCCTGAAAGCATTTATAGCACTCTGCAGTTTGACAGTGTAATGTATCAAACACATATTGAATCAAGTTCAAGTATGGGGAATGAGCTGGCCTTTCGATTTGACTGAAATATTCTGCTTCCAGGTATTCTGGCATCTCAGATGCTCATTACAGACAAGTATTGCTGTCCATTGGTAAAAATTCTTAATGAATAGTACCCCTAAAACAGCTTTGCATGGAGTTCCAGGTCCTTCACGTATCTATGACTTGATACAAACTGGCATCTCAGATGCTCATTACAGACAAGTATTGCTGTCCATTGGTAAAAATTCTTAAAGAATAGTACCCCTAAAACAGCTTTGCATGGAGTTCCAGGTCCTTCACGTATCTATGACTTGATACAAAACTGTTTACTGTAGCTGATTACTACCATCAAAGATATGCAATTCACTGCAGTCATTTTCGAGAATTCAACTCCATAAAACTGTTTGAATGAAAATTAGATCTTTTATGGACAAAGGAAAGGTTGCATTTTGTTAACTCCCTCCAGATTAAAACACATACAGAATCACACTTTAGGTTATATCTAAATACAGTAATAAACAGTACATGATCTCATTCCTCTTCTCTGAATTGAACATAATGAAGTGACTGAGTCACAAACCATTGACTTTCTCGTATGAATTCCAACCTTGTGAATCCTTTATACAGAAGTATCATTGCTGATCTGAGTTTCTGTGGCAACCTGAAGGTTTAAAGCCACTGATATTCTGGTTGTTATGGAGCTTGTGCAAGCCAACAGTAACACAAATAGTCTTCAGATGCTGTTGTTATTCTTCACTGCCTTTGTCTGTCTACTAACTGTTTTGTCATTTAAAAGCATGCCCAAGTTCTTAATATGACACTTTAAGGGATATTCAGATCGTGGATGATCTGCATTTGTGTTTGCCCATGCTTGAATCTACCAATTAACCAGCACTTTTGCCCTTCACTGAAATGATGCCTTTGAGTTAAGGCATATTGATCACTTGCAGAAATCACTTTAATTTTTAACTAATATTAGTGCACATTAACTTTACTAACAGTTGTACACATTTGAATTCCAACATGCATCTATCCACAATACATTGTCAATTACCTAATGTGCATATTTTATGTGCTAACTTATGAGCAGAAATCTGATTTTGCATTCAGTTTACATGATTGAATATTCATTGAACACTATAGTCAGTGAGCATATTATTTACTATTATCTTTTAATTTTGATCTGCATATATTAAAAAGTTTCTAATGCCTTCTATTGAGGGACAACTATTTATTTTCTCACCCTTCTGTTTGACATGGTATTTTCATTTGCTATTCAAATTTGTTGCAGCTATTTTTCTTTCCTGATAATGTTCCTGTTATATATTTCAGAATTTTAATAAATTTTTAAAATGTGCTCTTTATTGAGTGAATTTGTGAAAAGTTATTTCTTTGTTGTTAATGTGAAATTTGTTTTTCAGAAAACTGCTGCTACAGATAAAACAAAAAAAGAAGAGAAAGAATGATTGCAAATTTTGTTATTGCAGTTATAAATTTTATTACTGCATTGAAATTCCTTTAATTTAAGGTTTTTTTTTTTTTTTTTTTTTTTTTTTTTTTTTTTTATTCCATATACTAACATTCCTATGTAGTAACAGAATACTTTATTAACTAAATTAAAATTTAAAGAACCATTAATTCTGTATCATGCATTATTGTACATGTCAGCTGTGTTGGGATTTTTTATCATATAAAATTCAAGAAGTTAAGCAAAATTAGTTTTTTCATTTCCACATTGAAAGTATTTCTTCAGAATTTTTGTATAATCCTTTAGTCAACGGGAACCCAGCAACATATTTAGTACAGTATGTATTGTGCTACAGTACAGCTAATGAGTTGAAAGTAAATTAAATTCTTAAAATTCTTAAAATGGAATGCAAAAATTATATATTACTACCTTATTTAAGAAGAAGTTAAAAAGGGTCCCCTAGGAGGCCAAAGCGGCTGAAAATCGAAAGGGCTTTGAGGTGTACCAAATAATAAAATTGTTTAACGGCTTTTCATCCTGAACAAAATGATATATTACAACCTATATTTACAAAAAAAATTAAAAAGGGGCCCTTATGCCACCCAATCAAAAGTGTGTGGGGTTGTGATTCTTGGTATCATTACAGGAAGTATGCTCTTTTTTATATATTATCTGGAGCATTCAGCGGAGTCTTAGTGTTTCATTTTTCAATTTTTTTTCCCCCAGCTGATTTTACACCTCTTTCTAACATTATAGTACTTCAGTTACAGCATTATATGATTTATGCATGTAGTGTTATATCTGCTAAATTTTTTCATAAAATAATAATATTGAATTTAAATTGCTTTCAAAGGCCTTTAACCATTATTTTACATAAGTTTGTTCATCTGGGTGGCATCATCAAAGTGCCTAAAAACATAAATTTCTTTTTTTTTTTAATTTTGAATTTCTAGCAAAATTTTAGAAGTTTTTGACTTGGGCTCACATAACTATATTCAAGCACCCATTTCTATAAATGCACATCAAAAGTATGCAAAAATAGATTTAAAAACAAAAATTAACAATTGGTAGCTACCTGGAAACAAACTGTTTTAGAGGGGCAGTGGTATAAAATATAAACCGGCTCTCAAAATTCAGGATTCCACTTTAGACTTTCAATTTGTGTTCTTAAGGCCCTTAAGTTACAATTGATGCAAAGTTTTACCACAATATAAATTCTTTTTTATACTACCCCTGAAAGGGTTAAAGCATTTTATGACTGTATTATCTCATTATCACAAATGAGCTAAATGCAATATTTAATACAAGTATTAGGATCGAAATCTGCATGTGCACATTATGTGCTAGATATAAAAATGGTATATTTAAAAATGAGAAAAAAGAAGAACATACAAAAATTAGATTTCTACATGTACCTGTTTATTTCAGAGAAATAACATACCTTATAAGCTTAACACATTGACTGCTTATCACACGCTTGCGCGTGGCGTGGCGCTATCGCTGAAAAGCCAATCACGCGCCAGCGCGTGATGTGGGGTGATGTCTCAGTAGCCAGTCACGCGCTGGCGCGGGAAAATCCACTTCTGATTATTCATTCTCTAGTTCATTTGGCATTGCTTTCAGGGTATTTCTGCTGGTATTGGCATGTAGTTATGATTAGAAACTATCTGTAAATAATCGTGGTTTCGAATTTAATATTTAATTTTTGATTGAAAAAATAATCTTGTGATATGAGTTATACAGATGATAATTGTGCAGGGCCTTTGCGCCCCAAAAAAAGAAAAGTTCAAAATAATAAGAATTTAACGGATGATGAAATTGCAAATTTGTTGGCTGAGCTATCGGACGAGTACCCGAGTGATTATAGTTACGACGGCTACGACAGTGACAGTGACGAAAAATTCATTCCTCCCAATGATGCCCATGATATTTCGGATTCTGAAGATGAAGATGATGAACAAATCGTTCAAGGTGCAACATGTCAGCGCAATAATTCCGCTATAATGGAAAATTTAACTTGGGAAAATCGATTCAACATCCAATGAAAAAATTTCTTCTTTCATAAAATCTGAGTGTTTGCTCCAACCTGTTTCAGGTAACAATCCTACAGATTACCTTCGGCATTTTTTCACCGATCGGTATCTTTGGAGGAAGTACAGTTGCTGAAACTAATGATTATGCTCATAAAGTACTTTTTCACAAGTGAAAAAAAGAAACATTCACGCATCGATGCCTTGGAAGAGACACCACAAAAGAGGAACTTTTGACATTTGTGGGATTGATCTTACATATGGGAACTATATGAATCAACCGCATACAAGATTATTGGAAAACCGATTCACTGTTTGGTTTACATGTTTTTTCTGAAAACATGAGCAGGAATCGGTTTTTATTATTACTGAGGGCATTGCACTTCGCAAAAATTCCAGAGCAGAATACAGAAATTCCAAAGGATCGATTATATAAAATAAGAAGTATGGTAAATTTGTTCAACGCACGAGTATCTGAAATATATTACCCAGGACGAGAGATTAGTTTAGATGAGTCGATGGTATTATGGCGTGGACAACTTATATTTAGACAGTATATACCAAATAAACGTCACAAATATGGTATCAGCTGTACATGATCACAACCCCTGATGGTATGGTTTCTCAAATTTATGGTATATACAGGTATGTTGGATGATTCTGGTGGAAAAGGACATGCACAGAAAGTCGTAATGAATTTACTTGAGGGAATGTTGGATGTAGGGCATAGCGTATTTATGGACAATTATTATAACAGCTATGAACTGGCAAAATGTCTTTCTGATAGAAAAACTCATTGTACTGGGACAATTAGAAACAACAGGAAGACATTTCCAAAAGAGGTAAAAAAAAAAAAAAAAAAAAAAACTGAAGAAAGGGCAAACTGTAGCAAAATATACTAATGGTGTGATGATTGCTAAGTGGAAGGATAAGAGAGACGTCACTTATATTTCCAATGAATATAAAAATGATATGGTGGAAAAAACAAAGAAAAGAGGTGAAGTTAAAACAAAACCACTACCTGTAATTCAGTATAATAAATTTATGGCAGGTATTGATAAGCAAGACCAGATGCTTGCTTATTATCCTTGTGAAAGAAAACGATTAGGTGGCCCACGAAAATTTTTGTGCATATTTTGCAAATAATGATGTCCAATTCCCACTTTATCTACAACAAGTATTCCAATAGAAATATGTCACTTTATGACTATCGTCTATCTGTGATAAGATGCTTATTGAAACAGCCATCTGTTCATCGTGCTTCTGTGTGTCATCCATCTGAATCGGAGCATGTACTAAAAACGCGGGAAGAGAAAAAAGGTGGAAAAATACTGCGAAAGCAGTGTAAAAGCTGTTATTCGGAAGGAAAACGAAAAGATACCATATATGTGTGCAAAGTTTGCGAAGGATCTCCCGGATACTGCCTAGATTGTTCTAAGATTACACACAAATAACACTCTAAAATGTAAGTTTATTAATAATACCATTATAATTATCATGTAATAAATTCATTTGTAATATATATGTTTGTAATAGAGATTTATATAAAAATAATGCATACTGTCACTTATTTTACTTATTTTTATTCACTTTTTGCAAATCACGTGCCAGCGTGTAATGTGGCATTTGGGAAAAAAATTGTTGTGCAGTGCCAATCACGCGCTGGCGCGTAGTTAAGAAATTCCATATGGAAATGCTTAAATAATACTTAGATATAAAATAATCATATTTCATTAATAATTTTAAATCATATTTCCAATAATTAGTATGTTGGCTTCTGGGTACAATCTACTTCGATGTCAAGGCAATAACTATCAACCCCATCTCTAGAGACTGGCAGTCAATGTGTTAAAAATACACCCATTATCAGATAACATGAAAAGTTTGTGTATATTTGTCTTCCATTATATCTTCAAGCACATCATGAAATTCTGTGTCATCTTCACCATCACTATTACTCTTGATCCATAAATAAATAATCATCTGCCATTCCATCTAGACTGTTAGATATGCTACACTTTTTTAATTACTTTTGAATTACGTCAGGTGTAATTACAATCCATGCTTTTATTATCTGCTCACGGGCTATTTCAGACTAGCATGATGCATTTGACCTTCTTTTATAAATATTTTTCACATCCACATATTCCATTTTTGTTTAAATTTTCTTTGAATAACTTATTGATACTCACATCTAAAGGCTGAACTAATGCCATTAATCTGCCTGAAATAACTGCTGTGTCTAAATAGCCATGCCTATATTACACTCTTTCAGCAATTTCTCCCCCCCCATTATCCTTCAGATGGGGATCTCAACATGTCCCAAATTAAAAGACCTTATGGATTCTTTAAAGCAATAGGATTCTTTTGCCAAACATTTATTATCCGTAATTTCATACCATTTTCATTCATCCATTCTTTCTCATGACCATGAATGATAACACCATTTGGGAAGTTACATTTTGGCATTGTCTTTCTTTTAAAAATAACTACAGGTTTTAATTTTGTACTATCCACTAAGCAGGAAAGTACTATAATGAGGTGAGTTTTCTCGTGACCTGTTGTTTTTTTGTGAACTGCTTTTGTTCCTTTCACATTATTTTTTTATTTTCTATCATCTCAAACATTACTAGAGTTTCATCCATATTATCAGTATATAACAGTAAATAATTTTGCCTTTGTAAGTCAGTAACATATTTCTGAAAACTTATCAATTTGTTGTCCAAATCTTTCGGAAGCCTTTGTGAAACTTTTGCTTTTTCTCGTAAGTCTAAATTATCCTGTGCCATCAATCCAAAATTGCTTTGAAGATTTCACTTTCATTTTCATTCTTTTTGCCCACATTAAGACAAATAAGTGTATGCTGTTTCTTGTTACAATTAATTCGTTCTGTTGATTTTCTAGGACCCAATTTGCAACACTTTTTTCTAGGGTAGGCCATTTTGTTACTTCTTTATGCAAAGCACATTTATTCTTCGGCATATTAATTATTGTGATTTCATATTTCTGCCACTATGTATGGAGCTTTCAGCAATACTGCAGTCTGGTTTTCATTTCCTTCAGCAATTTGAAACCAGCACTGTCTTTTTTTGTTTGGTAGGATTCATACTTACTACTGAAAAGAACACTAGATAAACTGTATTTCAACCAAGCAAATGTGATTACTTCAATATGTTCACTTCAAATGACTATGGAAAGAGAAAATAGCTGATTCTCAATTATGTGAATTCATTTGGGTCTGAAGCCCATTGTTACCCCAAATTATGTCTGCCATTTCCTGACACCCTAGAATAACATTCTTGTGCACGCTTGAATTGAATACAACCCACCCTTTTTGCAGAATTATTTACTTCCTCAAGATATTTCCCCCATACACATATTGTTCCTCGTATCGCTTGTCAGCTCAATATATTATTGTTTGAAAGCCTAGGAAAAATCTTCAAATGAATGACTTCAAAAGTTAAAAGCATTGAACATGTATCTTTCAGTTTTCTTCTTAAAAAAAAGAATGTGTGTACTATGACAAATACACCCAAAAATTAAAAACTGTAGTTTGAAATTTTAGGTGTGTTTTATACATCAGAATATATACAATACATACACTCATGTGCAAAATTAACAGAATTTGTACATTATGTCAAATTTCTGAAAACCTACTGGACAGATTTTACTGAGACTTGGTAAGAATATGCATTTATAACAGAGAAAGAGATGTACCAGTCAAAAATCATTTTGTATACACATGATTATCAGTAAAGCTTATACTGACAGGATTTCCCAAATCCATTTTGTGATATCGAGCTGAAAATAAGTTGCAGCCAGACAGGTGTGATGGCATACCGGATGCAAAGCAGTTAGGGAGTTCCAGTGGCAGTTGATCCCAATCCTCTAGCTAGGCAGTTGATTCTGAGATGGTTGAGCAAGGCAGTTATCAACTCAGAGATGGAGGGTGACAGCGAGATGAAATTGCTGTCCCAAGAATGTCCCAGATATGCTTTACAGGGTTAAGGTAAGGAGATGACTGGCTAATCCACACAGCAAGTATCTTTACTTCCCAAGTAATCCTCGACCAGCTGAGTACTATATGGATGAGTGTTGTCAATCATGAACCGGAACCCAGAACCAACTGGGCCCTCGAAGAATCAAACATGGGGTTCTAAGGTCTCCTTTCTATAGCTCCTAGTATTCAGGGATTTGTCGAACACATCCAGCAAAGTGCAGCTATACAACATAATGCCAGTCCAAACCATTACAGCTCCAGCACCATTATGATCCTTTTCCTTGATGAGGCAGGAATGGTATCATGTTCCAGATACAGACACACCAAGAACCAGTGTCCAGGCTGAATCTCAACTCAACTTCAGAAAGCATGGAAGATTGGTCCAACACACATATTGCCTGCATCTTGCTAAATTCGCTCTCTTGTGTACTGCAGTGAGTGGGACATAAACAGCAAGTGTTCTGGAACACAACCCTATCTCATGATGCCTTTAGGTAAGTGTAGACTGTGGAACTCGGGCTCTAGTGACAGCTTACAGCTGATATGAGAGCTGTGAAGCTACAGCAGTCCTGTGTTGCTGCACTAAAAATGCCAAACAACAATCCACTTTCCTCACTGTGAATCTTGGTTCACCTTCTCGAGGTCTTCCCAATATGGATCCAGTGTCCAGAAACTGATTCTGCAAATTGCAGATGACACTAGGTATTTCATTGTGCTCTGTAGCCCACCTGCACTTGTTACCAGCCTACCTCCATCCACCAGTAATTTCTAATCTCATTCCATCATCTATACTTTTGTGGCTACTCATTTTTCCTGATACTTTTTTTAATTTACTCAGCTCTTCTGAGAAACATGGCAAACATAATGAAGGAGTATAAGCACACACATCACTTATATCGCCTACACAATCACCAGAAATATGTATTTATTATTTCCACATTTTGTTAA